AGTCTTTCACAATTAATATGTATGTATAAATCGTACATATATATATATATATATATATATATACATATATAAAGATTATATATGCGACTGTTTTTTCTCTAATATCGCAGCTGTTGAGGGTATTAATCGTTGAAACTGGCCGATAAGAGCGCGCCTTTAAGAACGCGAACACACGGAATATTTCGTAGCAGTTATATTTAACGTCGGCGTGGGATACCTGAAAATAGTCGTTGACTAGTATAGTTAGCCGTGCGCTATATCGACTCCACTGCCCTCGTATTGTACAACCTTGTCCCTGCTCTTCTTCGCTTTACATCCGACGCCGTAGAGGCTGGCGCCGACTGCAAGTTGCGAGAGCTACTTCCAATGTTGCATGCAAAATTTTCGCGCCAACTTATGGCATTCACGCTGTCAACATTTGTATCAATCCGATATAAATAATGAGATATATAAAATCAGATAAATTCCGCTTTGTACTTTTTAAAATCTGATATCTATTTAAATTTTTTTCACACATCTATAGAAATATCTGAAGAAACCAGATAAAACAAAATAAATTTTAAGATATTCTATTTTTTTTATATATGCAATATGTAACAATTCAAAAATTGTAAAGCCAAATTTCTAGATCAGAAATTTTGGAGATCGGAATTTTGCAAGTTTGCGTGAAATAATTTTTTCTACAATTTATTTACTTTCTTTGGTATATATGTATATATTGGATACAAATTTAATTCTGCAAATATAGACATTATCGCGCGTTACTTTATAGTGCATACGAGAAAAAAATGTGTTTCTATCTCGACATTATATTAACATGGATGCTGTAAGGAGCAATTTATGTATACATTATATATGCGTTCATACACATGCGAGAAACTGGGGTTTACCTAAGTAATCATTGATACGTGTACGGTTCAAGAACACCTCGAGGTGTCTCACTTGCTGCATGAAGGTCGCAAAAATAAAAACACATACACACATACAGTTTATCACACACACAGGCAATGTATATGTGTATTAAAAGTGTATATGAATAATATCATGTGTCCGCTATATATTTAAGAATTTTAGCCATAATTTTGTCAAATAACTCGGGCATCGGGCGCATTATTTACATGTTTGCTCTTATATTTTGATGCATCAGTTGTGTGGGCGCTGAATTATTCTATAATCCTTGTATCGGGATTATGTTACTCACCACCTCCGTTTTGTTGGCACAGATAAGGAAACCTCCAGATATTGCCAAGACCCACGCTATATCCAATAATACTGAGAAAGAATTGCATTTTCCCACTCCATGCCGCCCTATTCTCCTCCTTCGTCTCCTGGCCGCCGGTGACATTTTGACTTCCTGTCGTTACGATCGTCACGTTATGGGCGGGTTGGCGACGGTCGTTTAAAGGTGCCAGCTCGTGCCCATTTCTTGTCGCGGCTTCGACTACCATTCTCCCGTGGGTCTCGACGGATACACGAAAAATCGATCACCCTTCTCGCGGATGATATATTTAATTGAGATCCTCAGCACACTCTCTCTTTATTTGTTTGCTCTCGTAGGGATACGTCGTGACCCCACGTGCCACTTGTCCTCCACTTCCTGCCGTCTGTTTATTTCCTTTCCCGTGTATCGCTCTTCTCCTCTGTCAATAACTTTAAATTAACGACACGATTTGAAGGAACCCGTGTGTCTTACGCGTCTTCACGTAAACTCATGAGTTTTTCGGCGACCGTTGTCACCGTCACTGTTACTGCGATTTCGCAGCGGATAATATAACAACAACGGGGGTAACAACAATGTTAACAACAATAACAATAATGGTAGCACAACAGTGGTTATCTTCGTTATTTAATTGTATTAGTGTCAACAGTGCTTGCGCTGCTGTGTCCGTAAAAATACTGAGATCGATTTCTCCCTCGAGGAACAATCGACAACAATTCGTTCTCCAGTGTTATATGTACAATTATCGATGAAAATCGAAACGGTCTCTATATCCGAGCTATGCTCGTCTCTTTCTGGTACTTGTGTGCCTCGATGGTACTTCCTATTGACTGTTTGCAGACGCATACGCGACCGCGTAGAAGCTTCGGACTACGGCAGGATGGAAAGGCTGCAAGATATGAGAAAGGATACGTCATAGGATAGATTGGGAACTGGCGGAAACGGAGTGGGTGGCTCTCGTAGGTGACCCGATAAAAATCGAGCACCGACTGGTGCGATGTTATACGAAGAAATCCGCGACCTCGGATTAGAGTGAGCCGGGTGTATTATAGTCGGAGCTATCGAAAGATATCGACCACCGATGATGCAGGATACGCGGGGCTACCATGCGCTACCTGACATTGATGGAAGAATCGACGACGGAATAGGGGGTTCGGAGGGGGTTACACCTTACGTTACGTTTGGAAGCAATCGTAGCGTGAAAAATGGAGTAAGAGGGGGCGAATGAAAAGTACGCGTGTTGTTAATAGCCACCGTCAGGACGAAATATCGATCGATCCTCCGCGCGGAAGCGAGATATCTAGATGAGGGAAAGAGTTAGAGAGAAGTATAG